TTTGACAAACATATAGCACTAGTATTATCACAATATATAGGAGTAGATGTAAGAGATAAATCATAGTCGAGAAGTTGATGCATGATCCAAAGGACTTGTGTACAACAACTTCCAACAGCTAAATATTCTGCTTTAGTCGTTGACAAGGCAACATAATTTTATTTCTTGCTATGCCAGGAAACTATTGCATTTCCCAACAGTTGGCATGTGCCACTAGTACTTTTCATGTCGATCTTATCACCTGCAAAATCTGCATCTGAAAAATCCTTTTAAAACAAAATTGTTAGAATGAGAATACCATAATCCTAATTCAAGGGTCCTAATAAGGTATCTAATAATGTATTTAACAGCGGTAAGATGGGATTCCTTTGAAGCCGACTGAAACTTTTCACATTTACACACACTAAATATTATATCTGGTCAACTAGCAGTGAGATATAATAACGATCCAATCATTCCTCTATACATGTTTCATCAACGCGTTTTCCATTGTTATCTTCATCAGGCATAGTTGTTGGACTCATTGGAGTCCCAATGGACTTAACATTCTCCATGCCAAACTTCTTTATAAGTTCCTTGATGTACTTGATTTGGCTGATAAAGATCCCTTTGGGAGACTGTTTGATTTGCAATCCAAGAAAAAAGTTAGCTCTCCTATCATGCTCATTTCAAATTCTCCTTTTATCGTATGAGCGAATTCTTCACATAGTACAGAGTTATGACTTCCAAAAATAATATCGTCAACATAAATTTGAGTGATAAGATTACCTGAATTTGAGTGCTTAATAAACAGTGTTGTATCGATATTACCTCGTTTGAAATCTTGATTTAGAAGGAAGGAGCTTAATCTTTCATACCAAGCTCGGGGAGCTTGCTTGAGTCCGTATAGAGCTTTAGTCAACTTGAATACATGATCTAGGGGAGTATCATTTACAAACCCAAGAGGTTGCTTCACATAAACTTCTTCAAAGATGTATCCATTTAGAAAGGTACTTTTTACATCCATTTGAAATAGTTTGAATCCTTTACGAGCAGTTTCATCCACTTTCTTTGGCTCAAGTTGAGAGATTATAGCCATGTGAGAGTTGAGCTTTTGAGATCTTCTGGTAGTGATTCCTTCCTGTGGATTTCCGATAATGAATTTATGATGATATCCAGGTTCACTTTTCCATTCATTTGGGATGTTCGTGGTTGGTTCCCTTTACTCAGTAGTCGACTGTTCTATTGAAGAAGATTCATGGATGTGCTCCTCAATGTACTAATTCTGGTGACTAGTTAACTCATTTTGACAGTCATTTCCTACAACAACAGACTTAGGGACAATAGAAATTTCCTCATCTTCAGGAAATTTTTCATCCCTTGAGCGAGGGTTAGTATTAACAAAAATAACATGAATTGATTCTTCAATGCATAAGGTTCTTTTATTGTAAACTCTATATGCTATACTTGAGGGAGAATATCCAAGAAATATACCTTCATCACTTTTTGGATCAAACTTACCCAGATTATCCTTTCCATTATTGTGAATGAAGTATTTGCATCCAAATGGGTGAAAGTAACTGATGTTGGGTTTCTTACCATTCAATATCTCATATGGAGTCTTTTTAAGAATGGGTCGAATCAAACACATGCTAATAATATGACATGTTGTGCTCATAGCTTCGGCCCAGAAGTGGTGGGGTAGAGAGTTTTCCACAATCATAGTTCTTGTCATGTCCTATAAGGTTCTATTTTTATGTTCTACCACTCCATTATGTTGAGGCAACCTGGGCAAAGAGAAGTTGTGAGAGATTCCTTGGTCATTGCAAAAGTTTTCAAAAGTTCTGCTTTCAAATTCTCCTCCGTGATCACTTCTAATAGTAGAAATGTATTATCCTTTTTCACGTCGAACCTTCTTATAGAAAAATTCAAAATTCCTTAGAGCTTCATCTTTATAACTTAGAAAAATAACTCACGTAAATCGATAAAAATCACCCACAATAACAAAAACATATTTTCGACCATCGATACTAGCAGTTCTAGTTGGAACAAACAAATCCATATGTAGTAGTTGAAGAGGTTTAGTAGTAGAAACAATGTTTTTGATTTTGAAAGATGAATGAGTTTGCTTTCCTAGTTGACATGCATAAAAAATATGATCTTTTGAAAATCTAGTTTTGGAACACCAATGGCAAGATCGTGTTTAGAAAGTTTTTGAATAGTATGCATGCTAGCATGTCCAAGTTTTTTCTGCCAAACCCAAGGATCATTAATCATAGAAGTAAGATAAGTTTGATTACCAAGGCTATCTATATTACTGATAGTATATATATTCCAGTCTCTATTAACTGAAAGAATAACTTTACCTTATTCGTCTTCTATAAACTAGCCATGTTTCTTAAAATGAACCTCATAGTCATTGTCACATAGTTGACTGATACTGAGAAGATTGTGACCAAGTTCATCAACCAGGTATACTTCATCCACATCACATGTTGAGCTTAGGGGAATGTTTCCAACTCCAATTACATTTCCAAATGATTTATCTCCAAAGGTAACTGTTCTTGCATCTAGTTTGGTGACTGTTTTGAATAATTGTTTGTCACCAGTCATATGTCTGGAACACGCGCTGTCAAGATACCATTTTCCTTTTCGATTCTTCTTGCGGTGTTCCTGCAAAACAAGGTTACTTGTTTTTAGGTACCCAAGCCTGCTTGAGTCCTGAATAGTTAGATTTCTGAGTGTTAGCTTGACTAGAGGATTTAGGTCGCTAGACCCATCTCTTGTTGTCCTTAAACCTGCAACGATTATAAGTGTGACCACGTTTTCCACAATAAAAACGCGACGGATTATTGGGATTTTTAGAGCCCCTTTCTGTTTTGATTCTGTTCCTGCATTGGTTAGTGTTGTGACCATTTTTACCACAATAAAAGCATGCATGGGTGTTTCCAGTTCTAATCAAAGAATTATGAAAAACCATTTGAAGTTCTTTTGATTTTAACCCCTAAAATCATATATGCTTCTCCAATACCTTTTTATTTCAAATTTAGAAGACAAAAATTTTTTAGTCTCATTAACGACATTCACATTAGGGCCAAATATTAACCATTCATCCACATACAAATATATAATAACAAAATCTAATCCTATCATCTTGGAATAAACACAAGTATCAGATGCACTAATGTGCTATTAAAATTTTCATACCATTGTTTAGGTGCATGCATTAGACCATACAATAACTTTCTTAATTTTCATACTTTATTCTTTTGTCCTTGGATCACAAATTCCTCAGGCTGAGACATATAGATCTCTTCCTTTAAATCACCATTTAGGAAAGCTATTTTAACATCCATTTGATGTATCACTAAATTATGAATAGCGGCTAAAGTAGCAAGAGTTCTAATAGTCATTATCTTAGTTACAGAAGAATAAGTGTCAAAGTAATCAATGTCTTTTTTTTGGTTAAAACCCCTAATAACAAGTCTAGCCTTATATTTCTCAATTGTACCATCAGGTCTCAATTTCTTCTTAAATATCCACTTGCTACTTATGGGTTTACAACCTTTAGGCAAATCAGATAAGTCTCAAGTGTGATTAGAAACTATAGAGTCTAATTCATTTTTAATGGCTTCTTTCCAAAAACTAACATCTATTGGCCTCATTGCTTCACTGTATGTCTTAGGGTCTTATTTTATTAAATAGATTGATACTAATTCATCACTCAAAATATCAAGATCAGTATGTTCAGTCAAAAAAGTAGTAATAAATTCAGGACCAAATTTAGCTTCAATTCTATGCCTCTTACTTCTTCTAAATTTATTTTCATGCTCATTAGCAGTAACACTAGAAGAAGGCACAATATGAGAATTAACATAATAGATGTAGAAGCATTATTAGGCACATCACTAGGCACATTATTTTTCAATAGAAAAACTTGCTCAAAAAATTCTGCATCTCTAAATTCACAAATAGAACTATCATTCAAAGACATAAATCTATATGCAGCACTATTTTGAGCATAACCAATGAAAATAGCATCAAAAGTCTTGGGTCGAACAGTTACTTGTTTAAAATCAGGTAGACCAACCTTAGCCAAACACCCCCACACTTTCAAAATTTTCGAGTTAGGGGCAAACACTTTCCATAACTCATACAGGGTTTTATCTGACTTCTTATGAGGGACTTTATTAAGAACATAACATGCAGATAAAACAGCTTCCCCCCTCCCTCACATATTATCAGATAAACCTGAACTCAAAAGCATAGAATTCAGCATTTCCTTAAGGGTTCTATTTTTCCGTTAGGCTACACCATTTTGTTGGGGAATATAGGGAGCACTAACCTCATGTATACTACTATTTTTCTCACAAAAGGCTTCTAGAGTATTAGTACTATATTCACCACCCCTGTCAGACCTAAGCCTCTTGATTTTTCTGTCTAATTGATTCTCTACTTCTGCCTTGTATTTTAAAAACATGCTTTCAGCCTCATCTTTTGACTTAAGAAGATATACCTTAGTGTATCTAGAAAAGTCATCTACAAAGGTGATGTAGTATTTCTTTCCACCCTTACTAACAATATTCTTGATATCTGTTAAGTTTGAATGTACTAGTTCAAGCAATTCTATTTTTCTACTATTACATTCTCAAAAGGCTTTTTGGTATGTTTTGCTTCTACACAAATATGATACTTAGAAAAATTATCAATATTAACTGCAGGAATTAATTCTATTTTTCTAAGGTTTTTAATAGAAGCAATATTAATATGACCTAGTCTACCATGCCACAAATCAATAGACTCAGCAATATAAGCAGAATTGAAAGCACTAACATTATTAATAATCTCTTGAGCGATGTTCAGTACAAATAAACCCCCACTTAGGTAACCCTTCCCAACAAAGTCTCCCCCACGAGAAATAAAAACTTTATCATATTCAAAAATAAATTTAAGACCTGCTTTCTTGAGAAGCACACCAGAAACTAAGTTTCTACGAAGGGAGGGTGCATATAGAACATTGTTCAAGGCAAAGGTTTTTTTTCAGAAATTAACTTAAGGAGAATATTTCCTTTACCCATAACTCCAGCTGTAGTGGAGTTACCCATGTAGACACACTCGCCATCAGCAGATTCCTCAAAGTCGTGAAATAGCTCCTTATTAGCGCAAAGGTGACTTGAAACGCATGTGTCCACTATCCAATTAGTCTTGTTAGCCACCATGTTCGCCTCAACAACCACAACAACAATGACATCACCACCCTCAGTAAGGTTAGCTTGGGCTGGAGCTTTACTTCCGTTCTTTGAGCTTTGTCCTTGTCTCTGATTGCACTGAAAAGCCTTGTGACCAATTTTGCCGCAGACATAGCAAGGTCCTTTCGACTTTTGAATATGGCCCTTTGGCTTATTGAAGTAATTCTGTTTCTTCACATGTCCTTTTTTCTGTTTTCCTTTAAACCTATCTTACACAAAGTACTAGAAGATTTCATAAGGTTAGATTTAGAAGAATTAAGAAAGAGAGATTTCATCTTATCCTTAAGCTGTTCAGACTCCTCATCTTTGAGATAGTTTGCTTCCTCAGTCCTCATGTGATTGATCAGTTCTTGAAGAGTTAAGTTTTTCTTCTTGTGTTTCAGTTGATTCCTATATTCACTCTCGGAAGGTGGAAACTTTTAAAGTAGAACATTGGCCTGAAGAATCTCACACATCTTCATGCCCTCGTTCAAAATATCAGCAGTCAAGTTCTCATACTCGTGAACCTGTTCCATGATTGGCTTATCATCAACCATTTGAAACTTGATCCACTTTCCAACGACATACTTCTTTTTTCCCTCGTCATCAACACCATATTTCTTCCCAAGTTGTCCCATATGACTTTAGCAGATTTATAATTTATAAACAAATCAAAGAGAGGGTTAGTCATATGGTTAAGCAGATGTCCTCTCACAGTTTTATAATCCTTTTCAAATTTCTATTTAGCAGCATCATCAGCAACAATAATATTAAAAGCATTAGAATTATTATCAACAATATTAGCAGGAGGATCGTTAAACAAAACATAATCAACTTCTAATTGTTCAAAGATAACTAAAAGTTTATGGGACCAACGCTTATAATTGTTTCCATTTAAAGGCTCAAGCTTTGAGAGATCAGGAAGTGTTTTGTTCAAAGTGGTGGCCATTAGTCAATATTATATGTAAAATCGTTTTCAAAATGTAAGAAAAATGAGTAGATAATATTGACTAAGAACAAGAAGGAAAGAAGAACAACTTATAAAAAATACTGTGTCGTGGCAAGCTATTGCCTTGAAAGCGATTTCGGCCCGACTGGATGCAAATCGTTAAGACCGGTCACTCCCCAAGGTTCCACAGCACCTCCAAACACGTGCACTCGTGGCTGAAAGTTTAGAATTTGCATAAAACAGTTGCCCGGAAAGAAGAGAAGATGAAAGTATTTTCTATGTTGGATAATTCACAAAGAAGACTGTTTTTTATAGGCAAAGTTGTTGGACAGTTACAGATGAAGGAATTAATCTGCAGCTGTTACAGAAATTAAAATGTTATAGAAAAAAAAATAAGGATTAGCAAGATGAATTCTTGGTTAAGACTTGAGTGAATATAATGACTAATGATCATCCTATTATAGCATGAAAATGAGTTTAGTTTCATGATAAGTGTCTTACTTACTTGTCAATTTTCTTTCATGCAAGATGACAACACATCTCATGCAAAATGACACTTGGCTTAGCAAGGCCATTTGTCAAACAATCTTTTAAATCAATGCCACATGTAAAAATTCTTACCATGTACTAATTATCTAAGAGTATTTGGCCACAAGGTTTTATGCAAGAAGCCACTTGGAAATAGATATGACACTTATAAAATAAAAAAACTCATGGCTATTGGTTGTAAATAAATTTTCAAAAAGAAATCTTTGACTTTGCATTATAAATAATACCAATAAGAAGTAGTTGGCATGCGAAACATAAAAACAGAATTCACAGCTCTTACACAATGGCCCGGCAAAATATGCTCCTAAACTTGATCATGGGATATTAGAATTTTCCGAATATTAAAACCACAATAGTAAGAAAGTCATCAATCAATATATGCTTTATTAGTTGAACCCTAACCATCACTGCAACAATAACATTCCCCTTTTAAAGTAAGTGAAAAGGTTGGTCATTCATTTTGCTTGTCTCACTTTACAACTGCTAGTCAAACCTAAAAGGGAATTAGCTTTAAGCAGAAGCTTATTATTCCACTTTTTGTGACCTGATAACAAGAATTCGTTCCTAACTTATAGAAGCGATTTAACTAACTTAAGGCCACTGCATGCAAACATAATTTTCTAAAAGAGCTACCAAATGAGAGTTTCTAATGATACCACTGTAAAATGGCGCAGAGGGAGTATTATTTTATTTAAGAAAAATATTATCCATTTATTACATATTACTATGTAGTATATATATCTAGTAAAAAAAATCGGCAAACTGTCTGGACACCACCTCCAGAAGGATGTCTCCACCACTAGATACTACAGTATACTGTATTAATAAAATTAAAATCTTGGATTCGCCTCCACTCATCCATCAGACTTACTGATCCCATGTACTTGAACAACCAATGGCATATTTACTAGTTTCTATGTGGCAACCAAAATCAGTAATCATTGGTTCACTTCAAACTACTCCTATTCCAAATTACTCTAATGGTTCTAGGCTTCTAGCTGACCAAACTTGCTAACAAACATAACTACTACTGCAGTAACAACTCTATATGTAGTCTTCTGCATCTATTACAATCACTTCCCTTTAAATTCTCATTGTATGGTTCCTTAGGTCTCACAGCAAAGTTAAGTCTATAATAAGCACAAAGAAAGACGAGCTTAATTTGGCAAACGTAAGTAGTTATTATGGCAGTACCAAGATCATGTCTTATTGCTCTAGTCTTTGCTTTTGCGTTGTTTTCCAGCAGTACAGTGAACGCACTGAGCTCCAATTACTATGACAATACATGTCCCAAGGCCGAGTCGATTATCACCAAAGTCGTGAAGAAAGCTATGTTGAATGACAAAACAGTTCCTGCTGCACTTTTAAGGATGCACTTCCATGATTGTTTCGTTAGAGTAATTTTCCACTTCTCTACTTTGTTTCTAGATAATCACTGTGCATGTTCCGTTATATAAGAGTAATACTCTTTCCTTTTTAGTCAATTTCGAAAAGAGTGCTGCTTTTCTTTCTGTATGTGATTTTAACTTTGAACTTCTCATTACCCTTAATGACATGCACTAATTATATACATAGTAATTAACTAATTATATATGTTTGTATGTGTATGAAAGGGTTGTGATGGCTCTGTGTTGCTAGACTCCACAAGAAACAACATAGCAGAGAAAGATGGCCCCCCTAATATTGCATTGCACGCATTCTATGTCATCGACGCTGTTAAGAAACAAATCGAGGATTTGTGTCCTGGAGTTGTCTCTTGTGCTGATATTTTGGCTCTCGCTGCTCGGGATGCTGTTACTCTTGTAAGTCCTATATTCAATTTAACAATTAAAAATCTCTTATCAGTGGTAGGTTTTTGATAGAGGACGTGAAATTATTTATTGGTCATCTTGTGTCAGTCCGGAGGTCCTACTTGGGATGTGCCAAAAGGTAGAAAAGATGGAAGAATCTCCAAAGCCACTGAAACCCGACAATTACCTTCTCCCACATTCAACATTTCTCAACTGCAACAAAACTTCGTCCAAAGAGGCCTTTCTTTGGATGATTTGGTTGCGCTTTCGGGTAAGTATATAAATATTTTTTTTAAATCTTGTATTCACTATCATAAAATAGTAGCGGGCTCGGACCGCCTCATGATTTGAAATTCTAGATCCGTCTCTCTTTGTCTCTTCTTGGCTAAAGAAAAATATAGTATATCTCCTAGACTGATTATACGTATCAAGATTTTTCTATTTTAACAAATTACAACAACAACTATGCCTCATTCTCAAAAAAGTTGGGATCGATTATATGAATCTTCACTTCTCCATTTAAGCTCAACTCATGTTATCATCATACCAATTAACTTTAACAAATTAAAGATAATTTTTTTTCTTGTTAACAGGAGGGCACACTCTTGGATTCTCTCATTGTTCTTCCTTCCAAAACAGAATCCACAAGTTCGACAATAATCACGACATTGATCCAACACTACAAACATCATTTGCAGCCCGTCTGCAGAATGTTTGCCCCATGCACAACAAGGTCAGAAATGCAGGTGCCACTATGGATTCTACTACAACTTTATTCGACAACGCCTACTATAAGCTTCTACTGAATGGAAAGAGCCTTTTCTCTTCTGATGAATCTTTGCTCGCTACTACAAGGACCAAAAGACTAGTTTCAAGGTATGCTGGCTCTCAGGATGAGTTCTTTAAAGCATTTGCCAATTCTATGATCAAGATGAGTAGCATAAATGGTAATGGACCAGAAGTTAGGCTGGATTGCAGATTTACTAGATGATGACACTGGCTAAATTTCTATTTGTTGCTTGTTAAACATTTATTTCACAGGCTCAGGCCGTTCATTTATTGTATTGGGGTGTTTTTTTTTTATAAGGTATTGTATTGGGGTGTCTTAATTTGTTTCATTTCCTTTTTTCACTTTCTGGGGGTAATCAATTTTTCTCCGAAATTGAGGGAGCAAGCTGAAAACAAAGCTCAATGTGTGTTTAATTTTCTGAGCAAAGAAGACTTGGTGAAGGATCTATGGTAGCATGTATTTATCTTTTATCCTTTTGTTGATTTGATTGGAATATCCTGTTACTAAAAATCGGGGCTTAAATGAAGAAGAATTTTGTGGTGTGAATCCTAATAGCAAGTATTTGTCAATGTTGTTCTGTACCACGATATACTAAATGCGGCCCCCAATGGAACAACAATAGAAAATCAAGAGAAATAAAAAGATCAGATAAGTTGTGCACACTGAGGAAGGTATACATAGAAATATACATCCAATTTCAATTAGAGAGGACTAAACAATGTAAAATTGAGTGAAGTAATGTCCATATAATCTGAGTGAGCTTAGGATTTCATGTGATGGGACAGTGGAGGCCTTGTGTTGGTTTTCAGAAGGCCTGTGCATAGAATTCAATTTTAACGACCATTAGCACAATAGGATTCACATTAAGAAATTAAGAAAATCTAACTACTAATATGTAAAGAAGAGGCACCAGAAAATTTCCTATTCTGCACCTCCCTTTGTTTTTGGACTAGTGCAAAGCAACAACACAGAAAATGTGAAGACAAGTCATCGACAAAGCCTCCCTGAAAAAGCATATTGAGAAAAGTTGGACTTAAGTTTAAAGTTTAGGCATTAGCTAGAACATTTACTGAAGAAAAACTTAAAATGGTCAAGCTTATACCCCAGATCTTGGAAAGTGCAGGTATAGCCCAAGGCTGGACAGGGGATACAAATATTCTTCTAGCGATTACTGATATCAACATGTTTATCACACCTCAGAAATGATGTGACATGACCAAGAGGCAAACCTTAATGTTGACCATTCTGCGGAGCTTCTTTTTGATACAACATGTATAGCAACAGCATACAATAAAGAATAAGCCAACAGTTCATTACAAGCTTCTGCAGAAGCTGCAAATATAAAAAGATTAAGTTGCCGTTATTTGGACTTAATATTCAGTTTGACATGATAATAAACTGACTACTGAACAGGGAAAAAGAGAAAGCATTAAATTTCCTGACATATTGGCTTCTCGTTGGCTACTGATGCGATATTTGAGAATGTTGTGCAAGGACAAAACAGTCTTCACCCCTGCAAAATTGAGCAGATTTTTCGAATGACTTAATTCAACACCTGCAAAATCGAGCAAAATCAGTCCTTTTCTGTCAAAGTAACCATAACCAGCTTTGGATTTTGTAAAGATCGTTGCTAAAAACAGAGCAATTGAGCTCAGCCATGTCTACCATGGTAGGTGAAGAAGCTTCTAGAGCTGAACGAAGAAAATGGAGAAGAAGAATAGGAAAATGATGAAAAGAAGCTCGAGAGCTTTTTCTGATACCTCATAGAGTATATATACACATGTACTTGTACAGCTGGCAACAACTAATTCTAATAATGAATTAACTAACTCTAATTAATTACTTGAACAATACAATAAATATCTCAATACCCCCCTCAAGTTGGAGGTGGTGAAAACACTGCCAACTTGGCTAAAACACCTGAATGTTTGACGCCTGTTAAAGCCTTGGTAAGAATATCCGCAAGTTGTTGATCAGTTGCGATGTGATGCAATGAAATAAGGCTCTCTTGTAGCTGTTTCCTCACAAAATGGCAGTTAACCTCGATGTGTTTGGTACGCTCGTGAAACACAGGATTTTAGCTATGTGCAAGGCTGACAAACTATCACAGAATATTGGAATGGGGTGTATAGAGGAAACTCTCAGTTCAACCAAAAGTCTGCTTAGCCACACCAGTTCACCAACTACCTTTCTAAGTGACCTATACTCTGCCTCTGCTAAAGATAAAGAAACAACTTCCTGCTTCTTGGACTTCCAGCTGAGTGGACTATTTTCCAGCAAAACAATGTACCCACTTACAGATCTTCTTATGTCTGGACAGGAGGCCCAATCCGAGTCATAGAAGGCTCTAACAGTCCAATCGTCAGATTTGGACATAAGGACTTCTAATGTAGGATCACCCTTGAGATACCTCAAGAGATGGTAAGCAACCTTCAAGTGAGGCTCTCTAGGATCTTGCATGAATTGGCTTAAATGTTGAATCCCAAAACCTATGTCCAATCTAGTATTGGTAAGAAAGTTTAACTTCCCTATTTGTTTCCTGTAAAAGGTTGGATCATCCAAAGGTTTACCCTCCTTGGCTTTAAGTTTTTCATTAGGATCAAGTGGGGAGCTAAAAGCAGTATATTCCAAACAATTGTACTCTTTCAATAAGTACAAAACAAATTTTCTTTGGGAAATGATCACACCATCAGGCTTGTACAGTACTTCTAGGCCTAAGAAGTAGTGCAAATTACCTAAGTCCTTTTATCTTGAACTTGTCATGAAGAAAGGTTTTCAATGTAGTATTTCCTCCAGAAATGTCCCTGTGACCAAGATGTCATCTACATAAACTGCCACATAAACCACTGAATCTCTATGTTGTTTGTGAAATAATGAATAGTCATTTAATGAGTGACTAAAACCTTTAGAACACAAGGCCTCAGTTAGTTTCTCATACCATTGTTTACTAGCTTGTTTGATCCCATATAAAGACTTATTTAACTTGCAAACTACTGACTTATCCTCCACCATAAGGCCTGGTGAGATTTGCATATACACATCTTCATGTAAATCCCCACGGAGAAAACATTGTTTACATCCAATTGGAACATTGCCCAATTGTTCTTTACTACTACTGCAATCAAGGTTCTCACTGTGGTCATCTTCACCACAAGAGAAAATGTTATTGTGACATCTACACCTTCTAGTTAAGTATAGCCCTTCACAACTAGCATGGCCTTCTACCTCTCTACTATGCCATCACACCTGTGTTTTATTTTGTAGACCCATCTGCAGCCTATTGCTTTCTTATTAGATGGAAGAGGTACTAAATTCCAGGTATTGTTAGCATAAAGAGCTTCAAATTCTTGAATCATGGCTGCTTGCCAAGCAGGGCTGACAACAGCTTCCTCAAAAGAAGATGGCTCACTAACATTGCAAATACTGTTTACCAAAGCCTGACTATTAGGATTTATTGATTCATGGCTATGTGGTGGCATTTAGAAAACAAAGTACTGAGAGAAAAAGAGTGTTTATTAGTGTTGCTGATTTTGTGGACATAGTCTTTTAGATATACAGGAGTTTTGTGTTCCCTCTGTGATCTTCTCAGGAGTGTGAGAAGATGATGTACTAGTGAAGAATCAATGAGTGGAGGTGAATATGGTGGAGATAGTGCAGAAGTGATAGGAAGAGAAGTTGGAACTGGAGAAGTAGAAGAATCAAATGCAGTTGAAACTAGCATAGCTCCTGGATTATCATACGGGTGGAGGTACAGAGGATCACTATGATCAAATCAGGTGCCCGTCGGAGTGACGGTGGCGGTAGTTTCCACTCCGGTTGAATTGTCTTGATCAGTGACATCCATAACAAAATGTAATTGAGGGAGAAAACAGAAGGATTTTCTATTCTCAACTATTACAGATTTCGACATCAAGTAAATGAGACGAAAGATCGAAATTAGGGCTAAACTCAAAATATCTGATGGAATCAAAAACAAAGGAAATGAAACAAGAAGATAGAAATGAAGACGATATACGAGATTAACCTCGCTCTGATACCATGTAAAGATCGTTGCTGAAAACAGAGCAATTGAGCTCAGCCATATCTACCATGGCAGGTGAAGAAGCTTCTAGAGATGAACGAAGAAAATGGAGAAGAAGAACAGGAAAATGATGAAAAGAAGCTCGAGAGCTTTTTCTGATACCTCATTGAGTATATATACATATGTACTTGTACAGCTGGCAACAACTAATTCTAACAATGAATTAACTAACTCTAATAGTGACATTAACTAACTCTAACTAATTACTTGAACAATACAATAAATATCTTAATAGATTTAAGTACTTAGTCCATATGTCTTTATACTACTGAGTTACGAACTTAACAAACTATGAATTTCAGTTATACATCTGCTGATAAGATTAGGATGAATTGAACTGACAATTTTTGTGCTTGTCTCACCAATAGAGGTAAGGAGAGAGAGGCAGAGAACTAGGGACAAAGATCAATTTTAAACCTTGACACAACAGATAAATAAGCTAATTGTCGGTTATATGAATCCTATATATTAATTCCACTCTATTCAGCTCCATTTTCATTCCAATGCCAGATAACTTTCCTTTTAAGACAAATTAGGTATTTTTAAATCTCACACTTTGCCCTACACGAATTTGCAAAGAAATCTCTGTTTTGCAATCAAAGTCTAACTTCAGCTATTGATGAACCCTGTTGACATTCTGATAACAGCCAACACAAGCAGTAAATAACCACCACCACTACTACAACAATAACAACTAAGCCTCGGTTCTAAATAAGTAGGGTCGGCTATATGAATCCTCACTTCTTTAATGTATAACCACCATGTTACTTTATACTGCACAACTTTTCACCAAGTAGGTGGAGGTTCAAATCCGCTACTAAGTATTCCTCCTCCCCTTTCTGTCCCCCTTTTCCCTCATGTATATAAAATTTAAAAAATAAAACTAATAATTTCCATTTACACAAGCTCATCGAATTGCCTTTTAAAAAAAAAAAAAATTAATTATCGTGATACTCATTAAAGGCAATGGAAGAATACCTTCACCTGATGACGTAGAAACAAAATGAGATAAATGTGTGTAATGTTGCATAAAGAGAGGAAAGAATTAACTTTAATCTCATTGTTGCCCCTCACCACTAGCCAGCAGCTACACCCCTCTATAATGAGAAACTATCGTCTATATTCGAGGAGTTTAAGTTCTATAAGCTGAAGGTAAAAAAAAAAAAAATTATTTACACGGATAACTTGTAAGGTAATAACAAGTACTCCTTCCATTTCAATTTAGATGAGGTAGTTTGACTTGGCATGAAGTTTAAGAAAGAAAAAAAGACTTTAAAAACTTGTGATCTTAAAAGCTTAAGGGGTAAAAGCTTTGTGGGTCAATGACATTTGTGTGGTTATAAAAGCTTCTTATCAAGGGTAAAATGGATAAAATGAAAAGTTTAAAGTTAAATTATTTCCAAATTTAGAAATGTGTCATTTATTTTGGAACAGACTAAAAAGGAAAGTAGCTCATCTAATTTGAAACGGAGGGAATAGTAAGTATTTATAATAAGCATTAATTGATAACATAGCTAAAATGGTAACTGTTGTGCGTTATTACAGGTTAAACATACTGATAGAGTAAAAATATTTGCGTCGTTAACTTAAAAAATAGACTGGCCCAGGCTAATTTACATTTTGCTATCATATTTAGACCATCATATAGTACATAAATCTCAACAAAAACAAAACATCCTTTAGGAGTAAATGAAAGAAAAAAAAGGTACAAACTACAAAAGTTCAAACTTGTACAGGATACAAACACACTCTGTAAAAGAACATAAAAAGTATTTCAATCAAATACAGATATGAGAGGACGGTGATGAAGCAATCTGATATACTTTTTTATGTGAAACTATTGATATACTTTTTCATCATTTGATCAACAAGGATCCTGTAGCCTCTTTCAGTGGGATGATAACTATCCCAGAACAAATATTTTGTGTCATCTTCACATGTCCCACCGTATTTGCATAGCATTAGCACCTCTATGTTTCCTGTTCCACAGCATCCTTTTTCTACCACTTCAAATCCTGAGACACCATCATCAAATTTCACTTAACACTGGATAATCTCAAACCCAAAATTTAAATAAATAAATGAAGCACGTTAATTTTACACCTTTCAGGTTTCAGTAGTGAACAGAGATAATAATAATCTTTTTGGTAAATACATTGAATACCCTTAATTGCAGATACACGCCCTATATTTTAAAGTTAAACACTTATACCCCTACACATAAAGAAGAAACTCCCAAAAAAAAAAATGAATGAAGTTAGAAAAGATTAAATTAAAGTTTACCATATTTTTGAGGGTTGACGATGAGATCAAGCATAGGATCGTAGAGGTCAATGAAAACGAGCTTGGATTGAGGCAATTTCTTGGATAGTGAATCATTAATGGCAGCTGATAACTTAGTGTTGGCCAATAGTGCAGCTTCATTGTATTCCTCCACACACATTCTAAATATTCCTCCACTCACTGTTCTCTGGAATGGCAAGCACCCAACTGGTGGAATCCCAAATACCCCTATCTTTCTTGCTCCCAACTTGTACAATTCCTTCCAAATAAAAATAAATAAATCAAATTAACAATGATTGTTAATTGATGTGCTGACTCAAGTCAAAGTCAATTGGTTAAATTAGATTGTCAAATGAGAACACTAATCCTTGCTTAACTCCGGCAACTCTGACCAAGTTTTAATTTGTTTTCTTAGAATTTATCTAACTATCAAATAAAAAAATTGGAAAATATTTTGACAAATTTCCCTATGGTCAATTTTAGCTACATATTTAGCCAAATCAACTCAAATCTTAGATGGGTATGCCCAAATTGGCCCCCATGCTGCACCGTATGTCATTTTGTTAGGCCACTCTTTAAATTCTATCCCCATTAATCTAGTAGGCTAAATTTCACATTTAAAATAGTTGAAAAAATATCTGTTTTAATTTTGTAGACATGCATTTGAGTCCACTAAACTAATAGGGACAAAGGTTAACTTGCTTTGGCGCTCATAATACAAATTAATGACAGATAGGGTACCATAAATTGCACTAGAGAGGCATATTCATATACATACTTGGATAAAATCAGCAGCTCCGTCCACCATAAGATCAGTATATGAGTTAATATCATACTGCTTCTGGCGAAGTCCAACGGTGAAGTAGGTGTTGGCAAGGTCATTGCTGCCGGCTACCACTAAGTATAAGCTGTTGTGTAGTATGTCGTTGCCTTCTTTTTCTCCAACCAATCCCTTTAGCTTCCCAACATATTCTTGAAAATAATTCAATTGTGTTGATAGTGGTATTACGGACTGAATTTTTTCATCCATTTAAGAAAAAAAAGACATTTATAAAGTTACATGTTTATTCTACTATCACGATAAGAAATAAATTTAAGTTTCAATGACAGTATAAAAAGTATTTGTACGTTTACTATAACTAGTTTGTGGACACGTGTGTTGCACGTGTATCCCATGTTAATCATTATAACTCTTTTAAAACAACACACGTATTATTAACACATGTTTGTGATGATTAACACTAAATCTGAAGGAAAAAATACAAGCTTCAAATGACGAATGGTGAGCCTTGTCGATCAGCAGAGGCGATGTACTATTAAACCCAAAATGATTGGACCTATCGGCTCATTCACAGACTTAAAAACAGACATGATGCTCTGTGAACCCTATCATAGACTTTAAAGTTGCTAATTTGCTATAACTGCTTTACCTCTTTATTTTAGATCTACTAATGCAGATACATAATACATATCGATTCGTTTTTAACTTCATAACAATAGAATTCCATATGCAATATTGCAATCGACCAAAAACTTGAGAATAAAACGTCATAACTTATAGCGTGAAAATTAGACATGCCACTTAAAATTAGCAAGATTCATGGGAATCAATTTTTATTATGCAACGAAATTGACAATAAAGAATAATAAAAGCAGCAAAAATTGAACTAACCAAGAAATACAAACGACATAAAACTAAAATATTTAGGCGAAATGGCTTCCTGGCCACTTAAACTTGTAGGACTTTTGAAAGCCGATACACAAACTTTGGGTTTTCCCGTTTGAACACTCGAACTCGTGAAACCTATAATTAATAAACTCATCTGACCCTTGAGCCTATACGCGTGTATTACACATACACAAACGTGTCCATCCAGTCATCAATTGACCAATCCAAAACTAAGACCCCACCCAACTAATGACATGTGTAATTTTTAAATAAAAATTGTCACCTATATTTATATTTAAAAATAAAAATAAATACAATAAAAAAGAAAACACTTGAACCCTTCCAGCTTCCTCTTCCCCTTCCCCGTTCTTTCCCATCTCCCCCCACACACCTGCAACTCTTTCTTCTACTTCTATATNCTCTATTTTTTTCTAGCTAGGTAGATTGCCGGAGAAATTTTCCGATCAGCACTGTCGCAGAATTTATTTTCTTTAAAGTTGTGACAATTAATTTGTTATAATGGCCAATTGGCGTGACCTCCTCAGCAGCAAGAATCCATTGGCATTGCTCTTGGGCGATTGGACACTTGGAATGCCATCTCCGACCAACTGGAGCCACCGGAGAGTTGCAGCGAAATGAACAAGGCGAATGCCATCTCCGACCCAGAATTGAACAAGGCGANCATTGCTGTGGTTTATGGGTGAAGCCTTGTTTCTGGTCGTTGGGGATGGTGCGAAGATACAGGGGTGCTGTGTAGCAGGTGATATCCGGAGGGGGGGTGTTTCTATTATGGAAATCGGCACACACGCGCCATTTGAATGTGATTTGTACGCGCTATGTCCATATGTAAGATAAGTTACCGCCACATAAGCATAGTCAATGGTCAAATGTGTTTATTAGTTATATGTTTCACGAGTTCGAGTATTCAAATGGGAAAACCCAAAATTTGTGTATCGGCTTTCAAAAGCCCTACAAATTTAAGTGGTCAGGAAGCCATTTCGCCAAATATTTAAAAGTAAACAACGAAACAAAAACAAAAGAAAAGGCTCAAACTAACTTGAAGTCATAAATAAAAATCTGGTATTTTGTCAGTTCGAATATAACAAATTCAATTTTCTTAATGAAAATAATAGTTCAGTCATTGTCTATTCGTCTTACCAATCAAAATTTATCTACATAAAGAGAAAAAATTACTCGATTGTGCTTGCCAAAACCTTTTGCTTGTGATTTTTTCCCCCTAATTATGTTGCTTCCGACATCGGACGCCAGAATATTATAACGGAGAGGGCAATTGTTGATGGAAATTCTAAAAATGAAAGTTGAAGAAGACAAAGCAAAATGCAGAATTTTGGAGAAGGAAAGAAAGTTTTTAGGGGAGAATACAAGAATAACTCCAAAGTTAAGCTCTGGCATCCCAAAAGATGAATGAGTCTTGAAAATTTCAGGGAATGAAAGTAAAATAATGGGTGTAACTGCAAGAAGGTTGAAAATATTTAATGTATCTGTATCTTAGAAACCTTTAGAATCCTTAAATTAAAAAGTAAACAGTCGTTTTCCCCCAGATAAAGTCTTCTAAACATAAAACCTAAACATGGGATAGTAACTAAGACATAACGTGTAAACATTGCTAATTCCTAGACGTTACACTTATCCAAAAGTCTCTTGGGTGGCAATGAATTTGCTGATTGATTTTCCTATTAAAATATACATTATTTTTGTTTTATCTAATGTTATTTATTTCAAATGATTTTAAATTTTTATATGTTAATACTAAGGAAATAATGCATGCTGAAAGGCTAAAAAAGTCCATCAATTTTATAAGGGTTTTTTCGTCTTTCAATCTTACTCTTTGGGCTTCATAATAATAATAATAATAATAATAATAATAATAATAATAATAATAATAATAATAATATAACTAGAGGCCTTCTCGACGTTAAAGTCATTCACGATAGAGCAACTCCTAAGTATGAAGCTCTTCGTGGGGGGCTCTTGAGCTACTTTGGGAACGACCACCTCGGCATCTGCGATTGGGTGGGAGGATGAAGGGATGGCCTGTTGAGGCACTGACTTGGATGTTTTAGTCATTATAATCTGGAAATATAGGTCTGAGGAAAAATATAGAGATTTGAAGATAGAATGAAAATATGAAGGTTTGGGATAAAGGTTCAAAGAAGAAGAGTAAAGATGAAGATATAAAGGCTCAATGAACAATGTAAGAAGATCTGGAGAATTTAAAAGCCGTTAGAATGTTCGAAGGTAAAGTTTAGAATCGGAAAGTGGAAGAAGTGAAGAGGGTTGAAGCTTTTATAGGGGACAATGCAATCAATGCACGACTTTTCATATTCGAAAACAGCCAGCCGATGACCAACACGTGTCCGAAGTCAGAACGACGCGACTGATGGGACGTTTCGATTTACTCGTCATCTCAGTTATAACTTACGAAGGAGGAAGCCGGGGTTCATCTATTCGTTTCGCATCGTTCTGGCAAACCTACTCTTCAGAAAACGAGGGGATTATCTGTATACGGGTAAAATGGGGGACAATGCATACCCCGATTTCCCGGTGAAGAAGACGGAAAAAGGGCACAGGCACACGAGGTTGAAACCGAGGATGGGAGCCTTTCGTACCGAGACCCATAAAACGGGAACGATGTGCTCATCGCCAGGCATGATAAACAATGCTTCTGGGACCCAAAACGAGCTCTAAGACCTCGAAAAATATGGCAAATGATTACGCATGACTAAGAGAGGGCCGCAATATCCGTACCTAATAGGATATCACGGTGTAGATCTCGCCTGATGTCCGTTACGGATCAGTAATTAACAAGAAAGGAGAATTTTTACCTTTTTTAGACTTGTACTAGGAGTGAAACTCTCCTACTATATAAAGAGGAAGTCATTCTAACACGCAAATCAAGACAATATAAATTTATTTTTCTGCTTTCTAACTATTGCAAAGTTCTTATTTTATTGTTTATTCTTCATTCACAATTGGCTTCGAACCAAGGGCCCGATCGAGGGCAAAACTACTGTTCGGCCTAAGTTCGAGCTGCGCCGTAATATTACAATTGGTTTGATTATTTATTTTGTTTTTAAATCATTTATCCCATATTCTTGATTATTTGTATTTAATCAATCCACATATCCTTAAAACCGCGTACAAGTTTAATTGTTATCCGTTTTAAGGGTAAACAATCATCATATGGTATCATTTCGCATATAATGTCTTCATATTATGTCATCAATTGTTTTTCCAAATTAGGTTCAAATTTGTTGATCCAAATAATTACCGGATCATAATTCATAAATCCTTCCAAATAATACCTGAGATCCCAGGTAGAGTAGTTACTGAGGTCGTCACTACTACTACTATTTGAGGTGAAACTTTCGGAATTTAAAACTTCAGGGGTCTAAGTAAAGATACCCTCCTTTATGCTTATTTTTTTTTCCAGCTTTGCTCTTGGGGCAGCCAATAGAGGTAAGAATCTACACTTCACGGGTCTAAGTGACATTACCCTTTCCCAAAAAGGATCTATGAGAGAAATGATTCAAAAGGCCTTTAATAATTTGAAGGGATTCTAAAAAATACTGTGTAATTTCTGAAAAGGAATGAGAAAAACAATTGATCAATGGGAATTAATAAAAGGAGGTAAGCTGAAAAGGCTACAATTTATTGCTAATAAAGAGTAAGATAAAATTCACACATCATATGAAAAGGCTACACGATATACATAGTATATCAAAAGGTTAGGAGTAGTTATTAGAAGATGAAAAGCTCTTCTAATTAAGTACATGCCAACATTAAGTAGCTAAAATTAATCATTTAATGGAAGATAATTTTACTTATAGATTGAGGGTAGATTAGTCGTTTAGCTTTTAAAGGATATTTTAGTAAATCAACTTCACACTAAAGGCCTTCCCGCTTATAATATAGTATGATGATGATATGATATGATGATTATGCTAATAATAGAGTATTTGCCCTAGCTCCTTTGAAATACCAACTTAGTATGTAACCGAGGCGAATCTAGAATTTAAGTTTTATGAGTTCAATAAAATTTTAACACTGAACCCACTTTATTTTTAAAATTATGAGTTCATATCTATCATGTCTTGCAATTTTAAAGAATTATTGCACATAAATTATGCATCGCACAAAAAATACTATGTTCAGATGGGCCCGATGTTATAGTACTGCATCCGCCTCTAAATATACACACTAAAATGTTGTTAGATTTAAAGTGATTTAATTGTGTACATATTTTTTATATCGTGTGTGGATAAAATGCAAATACAAAAATGAAAAATACCCACCGTGATAACAGCTGTTTGAGGGTCGTATCCACAAGCTCCTGATGCAAAACTTACTCCAGTTTTAAGATCTTCAGCTTGCAATTTTGGATCAAGATAAGCTGGCATTAACTCTTTAATGCCCAGTTCTTCCACTAAAATGAGTATCAGAGTCAAGTCAAAAGTCTAATCCCAACAAATCAAAAGACACAATAAAAGAAACAAAAAAGTAATATCAAAATTTTAAAATTAACGGGCATATGATGTTTACAACAAATAAATAGATGCATGACATGTATGTTGCGGATGAATTTAAAGCACTTAACCGCGGTTAATTAATGTATTCTCACCTCATTAAATCAATTATGCATAATAAGTTAATATAGTTTGATGTAAATTCCCGGTGTGTGTAAGATTTTATAGAGATATTGATTATGCATAGAAGATTCAATGTTTTTTTTTTTTTTAAAAAAGAAGATGAATATTTTAAATTTGTGTTTAAGCAAAGCAACAATTGCAATACTATTTAGGGCTTTTTTCACTTTTAGCCCGCGCCAGAAATTATTTATATTCGCTAGACGAAAAAGAGTATAAAATCTATATAATTTTTGTATATAACATACAAAATGTATATAAATACAAAAAATATATACAACTATTATTTTGAGATCGACTATACAATGTCATTTTCCCTATTTACTGTAATAGACATTCAAATGTAAAATGGCTCTTGAATCATAACTAATCAGAGGCAGGTACAGTGCATAAATTATGGGTTCATTGGAACCCAATAATTTTGGTTCACATTTTGTATGTCAATTAAAAATTTATTAAATATGTACAAATAACTTACTCCGAACCCATAATATTCAAACTATATATCCGCTGCCCCTGGGATTGGTGGTAGCAAATAGGCGGGCTGGGTCAGATTTGGGTGGATTAAAAATGGGTTAAGCAAAAATGAGTTGGGTCTTGACCCACCCATATTTCATAGAGGTCAAAAACGGGTTGGGTGTCAAATAAGCTGGTTGAATATGGAACCCATATTATTAAGTGTAATATTTTTTTAAGTACAATTTATAATTTTTCCTCTGCAGATTATTTAGTGACATAAGCTTAACCGGAATAATATTTACTCTTCTTCATTAAATTTATTCAAGTTTGACTACCATATTGTAAACTTAAAGTTATTTTTCCACAAAATATGACAGTTTTCATTTTATGAAGAAAATGTTCTTAATGCACATCAAGCTATATTACTAATAATAAATAACTCTGTGCATTTTTCACCTTGTTCATATATTGTCTGCAATCCAATATAAAACTAAACAAATTAAAAAAAAAAAGAATTTACTGTAAATTAAATGGAAAGACCCTATTTATTTCAAAAATATATTAAAAAATTCACTAATAATATATGACTCTATACAAATTCAACGTTGAAATATACTACAAAAAAAAATTTGGTTGAAAAAGAAAATACTAATTTTTTGAAATGAAAGAAAATATTTATTTTTTTGAAATGAAAGAAAATACTTTTTCTACATCATTTTTTTTGAAATGAAAGAATTTACTTTTTTTACATCATGAAAAGAAAGTATTATTTTGTTGAAGTGAAAGAAAATACTTTTTTTTTACGCCATGAAAAGAAAATACTCATTTTGTGAAATGAAAAAGAAATTACTTTTAATAATATTTCTATTGAGTTGAGTGGGTGTGGGTGTGGGTGTGGGTGTGGGTTTGGGTGGAGTTGGGTGGGTGGGGNGAAAAAGAGTTTTAGAAAATGTTTTCCTTCTCTTGATAAGGAAAATATTCTCCAATTGGAGGAAAATGAGTTCATGAGAGAAATATTTTTCAAAATATTTAAGTCATCCAAACATGAAAAAATTAAAAAATATTTTCCAGAAAATATTTTTTTTCGTACCACACACACCCTTAGCGTACTTTGAGTACCTCTTTATCGAAAGTGATGTACTACAAGTGGGAAAAATACTCTCTTTCTTAACATGTACTCTTCAAGAACAAATAAAAAACTATACAAATTTGCTTCTACTTAAACTATTTTTGGTATTCAAGTATGCATCTAGAAAGAACAAGGACGCTAAACAATAGTAAATAGTACTTATAATGTTTAGAAGGAAAAAAAACTCACATAGTCAACTATACGAATTAGAATACCTTTACAGCATTTTCACTTAAAAAAATGATATCATGTATTTTGAGTGAGCAAAAATTGGAAGATATCCCACTAGTCTGACCCATATTTTACCCAATAAATACCCATATTTCTATGGGTTGAATATGGTTGAAGCCCAAATTTTACGGGAGTGTCAAATGTACAGGTGACTATTCAAAAATAGTCACAGTTTCAAAAGTAATTGAAATTTAGCTACTTTTCATGTAAAGATAAATCTGAACGAAAACACTGTTCAAGATCCCAAAAAATATTCCAGTATAATATATTGGAATTTCAGTATATTATACCGGAGTTCCAGCATAAGTATACTGGAATTCCGGTATATTATACTGGAACTTTCCGCGTGTTGGAGTTTCAGCATAATATGCTACAAGTTCATACACAAGTGCACCGATCTCTAGTATATTATGCTGGAACTTTCCATGTTGCAGCAAAATAGTGGTTATTTTTCAATGACTTTACAAATGCTGACTATTTTTGAATGACTAATCCGAAAACTCGCTAGCCCGTGCTATTTTGACAAATTTTACCCAACTTAAATACCACTCATCCAACCCACTAAAATATGGTCGGATTAACAAAATATGAGCTCATTTTGCTAGCACTATCTTAGACTAATAATTAAGATTGTGTTAATTGAATCTTTTTCTCTCGTGTGTTAGGTTTATAATTTCGTCCGTATGTGATAAAAAAGACACAAATTTTGGGGGTAGGAAGACGGAAGTAGAAGAAGAAGAGTAGATGCATGAAAAGACCAGAACTTAAGATAATACCTATCAAGTCCGCCGGCGTTTTGGCATTAGTAAACCTTCCAGTTGGCTTTCCATCAATGAAGTCTTTCCCATAAGGTGGAAAATTGCACTTGATTAACGTTGTTATATTGTTGTTATTTCCTTGATCAACGATGGAATCTCCAAACACAAGAACTGCCTTTATATTCAAGTTCTTTGGTAGCTCCGTCTTCCCTTCACATGCACCAAGCCACAGGAGAATAACATAGAACCAAAACATCACACGTAAAGAAAACACCGTATGAGAACACAACATATTTCTAACACTTTGTGTTCAAGAAGAAGAAGAAGAAGAAAACGAGGTATATGGGTCCGAATTAGAGCTTTTAAATGGCAGACTTGAGTATGTAGTAAAGGGGGATTCTGCTATTTATAGAGGTTTTAGAAAAGAATAATACATTATTAATTAATTAAGTTGATTAGCTTACTCCTGTTATAATATATAGATATATTATAGTCGCCATCACGCAAACGGAGTGACTGTAAATTGATTGCCTCTGGGGTTAACAACTGGAGATTTAGAAGAAGTGAATTGTGAGTAAAAGAATTTTGCTTTCTATTAAGGATATCATTTATGATGCATGAGACAATCATGTCAATGTCAATGGCTTCTTGGACCCTTTATGAAATTTTGCCTTGCTGCTTAAGTTCACGAACTTTTACTATAAATAGAAGTTTCCTCTTATTATTTACCTACTTAATCTATATTTAATCAAAATTCAGGTAGTGTTAATTTCTTGAAAGGTTCCCCTATGAAGATGTGTAGAGTTAATAAATAAAAATGGTCTCATCTATAATTGTACCAGTTCGAATATTTTAGACACCGCTATGAATTTTGATTGTGCATGTCTTGTGGAAATATAGATGACTAGTTTAAAAAAAAATTATCCATATATAGAGTGCTACAGTTAGGATGATGCAAAGCAATGTAGTGAAAGACCTCAAATAGAAGTAGGTATCCACAAAAGCATACACGTTTCAAGAGGAAAAAAAGAGTTTAACTTAATTCTTTGCACGAATAAATAATAATGTAAAAAAAAAAAGAAGCTAGGCAATCACCTAAAAGATAACCGTAAATAACTGTTCACATTAACAACTTAAAAATAAGACAAATTAACTGCTATAACGGGTTAAAATATACTGTTATATACCATTAAAGAATTTTACACTGCTGATCTATATTAGTATAAGTTAAATCCGAAAAAAAGCACGTAGAATATTTACATAAGTGCTTTGCCTAGCTGTGATCACCAGCTGATGTTTTCTATCGAGAGAAGACTAGAGAACGTCTCCGAGTCTGAAGTAAACATGGAAAATGGAGATGAAGTTGGTTGGGTTGGTACGGTCTTGACTTGTGTTTCAAATGAAGCAGCACTTGCTCCAGGTTGTTGGGCTACCATATTATCTTTTCATTTAAAAAATAAATAAATTCTAATTTCTGGTTTATATCAGAACCTTATTCCCACAAATGCAAAACTTGAGATGGAAGTGGTTCGGTGAACAACTTGTAAGATATCAACCGAGTTTTGTTTTTCAACCTTAAGTTTAATTCACACCATAGTAATGGATGACACTTGGTTTTCTTGGACGACAGAAATATGATTGAACACAGAACACCAGAGCTTGATAAAGAATACATTTGTTAATTAACATCAGTCCACAATTAATCCATCATGGCCACACAAACGGAGACCAGAAGCAAATTATATGTCCCCGTGTTTAAATATACTAGTTTCTCTGTTCGCGTGTTGCACGGATATCTTGTATTAAACATAAAATATGTATAAAAAATAATAAACTTTCAATTGCATAGATATTATAAAGTTTTGACTTAATCAAGGACAAAATGGAACTAAATATTCTGGTATCACAAAGTCCTACGTTAAAGTTGTAAAATAAGTCAAAGTATACAACAACATTTAAAACTTTTTATGATGCAATAATTTATTTGAGTTAGGCGTAATAATTTGGGTACGTAAAAGTAATACTTCAAGATTAAGATACAATTTGTGACGAAGAAAACAGAAATGAAAAGTCATTTCAGTCATCCCTATTTCCCATGGCATTGCCTTTTTATTGTGTTGCATGGTATCCTATATTAATTATTTTAAAGAAATTCTTAAAGGCACAAATATTTAAAAATATTTGTTTGATTATTCAAACGGATATCAAATTATACAAAAAGTTACAGAAGCATACTCACTACCTGAAATAGTGCATTCAAATCTTTAGTGTGAACACCTAATTTTTGCACTATTTAACACCTCCTAAAGTTATTAGTGTTTTGTTATTTTAATTATTTTTCTCAATTTTTGTAATTTTAATTGCATATTTCCTATCATAAAATACTAAAAAAAAATAGTTCTTTCTTCATTTGTGCATTTTAAGAATTAACTAGTTGTTCAGTTGGTGAATTAATCTAGTTAATTGATCATTAGAATAAGTTATTTAATTAATTTATTTGTGTAAAATTAGTTTAATAAGTAGGATTAAGGAAGAAATTTGGCCAAATTTGAAAGAAAAAGTGTCCAAGAGTGCAAGATAAAGGGCTGTCATTGAAAGGGTCTGAAACTACGTAGTTTTGCTGTTGTTTCACTAAATGAAACAAGATCAAATCATACTGATCCATTCCATCTTGATCCAATGGATCTCATTCACTCTTGGCTTAGGTATTTAAAGCCTCAAAAATCTGAAAATTGTCCTCATTTTCACCCATAATTCTTTTCTCCTTCTTCTCTCTTCTCTCTCTCTTCACTCTCTCTACGCCGTCCCAACTCCGCCCACCGCCGCCGGCGGACCACCTCCAAATTCACACCATGTAATCTCCACAACTTCCTCCTTCCATATCTCCAAACCAAATCCTTGAAAAATCCCCCAAACTCCTTGAATCTTAGATCTAGGAAACTTTTTCGTCACTTTTTTGCCCAAATTCTTGAAGCTCCAACCACTACCACCCCACAATACTTACATCAATGGATAGAGTTCCTCAAGACCTAGCTATTGATGCCAATTTCACCATGAAAATCCGGCGATCAAAATCCGGCCAAATTCCGGCGACCTCCCCGAATACCCTTTTTTGGCATACCACCATTTTTTCGGCCACTTGAATTATAAAATAGTAAAAATCCTATTATTTTTCGTGGCTGATTTTTTATTTTATTTTTATTTTTTTAGATCTTATTTTTGTCTATTATTAATTATTTTAGCATTAGTTTTTGAAGTTTGAAATGTCAAATTTTCTGTTTTTGCACTTGTTGAAGTAGTAAAATAGTTTTGTGTTGATAAAAGTGAGGTAGTGAAAAATACTTAAGAGTATATGGTACTTGTTTGATTGTTTATTTACTACTTCAAGACTCTTTGAGTACAACACTCAAAAGTCAAATTGTTTGGTAAGAAAATGTAGACCTTTGGACAGTGTTTGAATAAAAGTTTGTCTTTGAATAGTGGAGAGCAGATTTTGTTTGAAATACTTGACTAGATTTGAACCAGAAAGTATGGCATTTTGAATTTAAGAGAAGATTTTGTAGAAAAATCTGTCAAAAATCTTGATTTTTAATTTTTTTGAAATAGCTTATTGTTTTGATATAAAAGGAGGACACTCCATCTTA